TCGGGGACGGGTACACATAAAACCGAAACCGCTCCGTTGGATAAATGTTTACCCTGAAATTGCCCCATTACCCGTTCGGGTAATTTTATTTGAACCGTACCCGCCCCAACAGAGAATCGGTTTATCCACGGGTAACCGTTTTCCCAAATGCTCTTAAATAACGATTTTCTAATCCTAATGCAAACATCTTTCATAGTAAATTATATATTCAAAGCCTCAATTTCTTTTTCAATTTGCATCCCATTTCGTATACACCGTACCCATTCCGTATCCAATTTTGCTAAACCTTAATGATGTGAAAACCTACAAAATTAGGCATCGAGCAAACTCACCAAACTGTAATATACACACTCTGTATTAACTTTAATAAAACTTATCTTTGACAGGAGTGATTATGAAAATAGAAGAAAGAAAGAACTGGGTAGAATTCTTGATAATGAGAGAGATTAGAAGCCACCGGCGGTAGAGCCGAACTGCAGGCCTAGCATCGTTCCATCTAAAAGAATCGAAGAGAATTGTTCTCACCATTAAGAAGCAGAGTCTTGAGATTCATAATGCTAAGGGGGAAGGTGGCCTTGACATTCAAAGTGTCATGGGATGACATTTGCCTCCCATAGGGGGGAGGTGGCCTTGACATTCATAATGCTAAAGTTTGGAATGAACCTCTTCTTGCGCCAATTCTTTGGAACATACATAAGAAGGAATACACTCTTTGGATCCGTTAGGTGAATGGCGTTTATCTCAAGGGAAGAAACGTGTGGGATTTCCCCCACACAACCATGACTCACAGCTTATGAAGAGGCTTTGCCTTTTCCGTGATAAAATTTACAAACATTCCCATAATACAAATGAGGCTATTATGGCCTTGAATAACATGTGCGTCAATGACAAACTAATTTTGGCAAAGGTCTATGATTTATTGTGCACAAAGGGACCGGCTAGACCATGGATGCCATTCATTTGGATTGGGTACATTGCCCCTAACTTTTCTTTTATCGTTTGGCTTGCTTTCCGAAACCGGTTACCAACACAAGATAACCTGGCTTATCTAAACATGGTTCACCAATGTGACCTTTGCAAGGGTGGGTTGGAAACAACACCACGTCTTTTCTTTGTTTGTCCGTTTTTTGTAGGATCTGGACGAAGATCAAGGATTGGATTGGTGTCCATAGAGAGATGACCGTGTTGGCAAAAGCTATCAAGTGCACTCATCAAATCAAAGGCGGCCCATTTGGCTTTTTGTGCTACTATTTACTGGATGTGGCATGCAAGGAATGCTTGCCGCTTTGATGATATTATGAAGACCGAGGAAGATGTTGTGGTCAAGATCAAACACGTGGTCTACAAAATCCTTTACCAATTTTATCCTTACGAGTTGATTAAGTTTTGATACTTGTGATATCATGTTTTTGTTTATCCGCGGCTAATGTATGTTTTTGTGAAACTTTAGTGTGTGTGCAGCTTGGAGCACACATTTTTTACCTTGATGTTTAGATCCCGACCCTGTAGTAGGATTTGTGGTTTACTAGATTAGATGGTGACCCCCTCTGGGTGGGTTGGTTTTTAGTTTGGGACATGTGTTTATGCTATTTTTTGGGAAGATATATATATATATATATATATATATATATATATATATATATATATATATATATATATATATATATATATATATATATAGAGAGAGAGAGAGAGAGAGAGAGAGAGAGAGAGAAAAGATCATGTGAGAAGTCCCCCTTAGGCTGAGAAGTTCAGAAGTCTAACTTATAAGCTCAAAACACGAACTTTTAACCAATAAATCATAACTTATAGACCCCTCCAAAAAATTACGAAAATGCCACCGTGTAAAAATAACACCAGAAACCTGGAATTTTTTTTGAAGAAAGTTCGTGTTTTTGAGGGGTTCTATGAGTTATGATTTTTTGGTTAAAAGTTCGTGTTTTTGAGGGGGTCTATAAGTTATGATTTTTTGGTTAAAAGTTCGTGTTTTTTGCTTATAAGTTAGACTTCTCAGCTTCTCAGCTTATCTGTTCCCTATATATATATATATATATATATATATATATATATATATATATATATATATATATATATATATATAGAGAGAGAGAGAGAGAGAGAGAGAGAGAGAGAAGATCAGGTGAGAAGTGTCCCTTAAAATGAGAAGTGAGAAGTAATCTCAGCCCTTGAATTTGCATGTGATCTTGCAACGCAGTAAACTTATAGACCGAATATAGTAACTTATAACCAATAAATCATAACTTATACAAAGAGGTCTTCCCATGCAAAGTGAGAATTAATCTCGTGCGTTCATTTTGAGATCTAATGGCTCAAAATGAGCCAAAAGTGAACTAAATTTGATCAAAAATGCTTTGGCAATTTCGTAATTAAAACGAAGTTTTTTGCCATCGCAAAAAAGTGCAACACAAACACGCAAAAGTGCAACGCGGTGTAGAAAAAGTGCAATTGTTCGCACTTTGCATGGGAGAATCTCTTTTTATTTGATCTCTTCCCTATATATATATATATATATATATACATTTATATATATATATATAGGGGAGGGTTCAAGTACAAAGAAGTTTTCCCATGCAAAGTGAGAATTAATCTCGTGCGTTCATTTTGAGATTTAATGGCTCAAAATGAGCCAAAAGTGAACTAAATTTGATCAAAAACGCGGTGGCAATTTCGTAATTAAAACGAAATTTTTTGCCATCACGAAAAAGTGCAACAAAAACACGCAAAAGTGCAACGCGGTGAAGAAAAAGTGCAATTGTTCGCACTTTGCACGGGAGAACCTCTTTTTATTTGATCTCTTCCCTATATATATATATATATATATATATATATATATATATATATATATATATATATATATATATATATATATATATATATATATATATATATATATATAGGGGAGAGTTCAAATACAAAGAGGTCTTCCCATGCAAAGTGAGAATTAATCTCGTGCGTTCATTTTGAGATCTAATGGCTCAAAATGAGCCAAAAGTGAACTAAATTCGATCAAAAACGTGGTGGCAATTTCGTAATTAAAATGAAGTTTTTTGTCATCGCGAAAAAGTGCAACAGAAACACGCAAAAGTGCAACGCGGTGAAGAAAAAGTGCAATTGTTTGCACTTTGCACGCGGTGAAGAAAAAGTTCATACAAAAAAAGACGACATAGACTCATACTACCTCCGCCCCTTAAAACTTTGACAGGTTTGACCGGAACGGGTATTAATAAAGTAAAAATGTGTGGTAGATGTTTGTGCAGAGGAGAGAATTAATTGGAACCACAAATTCTTTACTTAAAAGTGAAAGTGGCAAAGTTTGTGGTGCATGCAAAAAAGGAAAGTTGACAAAGTTTTAAGGGACGGAGGTAGTATATGTTATGATGTGGTGATAAACTGATAAATTAGGACATTTTTATACTATAATTTCAGTAGTGCTTTGAATATAGATGATTAATTAACCCAACGGACACTCTAAAAAATATTAACCCAATAGTTAATTGCAATGATGTCCTTTGAATTTTGATTGCATGAGCGCTTATATTTTTGCACTTCAAAATCCAAGAAAAAATAGTTTATCATGCAACTTTATTATTTTTAAAAAAGACAATTCATTTCACTAGTATAAACTATAAACTATAAACAATCAAATGGGCGTTTATAGCTAGGGATGGCAACGAGGCGGATCGGGGACGGGTACACATAAAACCGAAACCGCCCCGTTGGATAAATGTTTGTCCTGAAATTGCCCCATTATCCGTTCGGGTAATTTTATTTGAACCGTACCTGCTCCAACAGAGAATCGGTTTATCCACGGGTAACCGTTTTCCCAAATGCTCTTAAATAATGATTTTCTAATCCTAATGCAAACATCTTTCATAGTAAATTATATATTCAAAGCCCCAATTTCTTTTTCAATTTGCATCTCATTTCATATACATCGTACCCATTCCGTATCCAATTTTGCTAAACCTTAATGATGTGTAAAACTACAAAATTAGGCATCGAGCAAACTCACCAAACTGTAATACACACTATGTATTGATCACAAGATAGACATCGAGCAAACTCACCAAACTGTAATATACACACTCTGTATTAACTACAATAAAACTTATCTTTGACAGGAGTGATTCTGAAAATAGAAGAAAGAAAGAACTGGGTAGAATCCTTGATAATGAGAGAGATTAGAAGCCACCCGCGGTAGAGCCGAACTGCAGGCCTAGCATCGTTCCATCTAAAAGAATCAAAGAGAATTGTTCTCACTGTTAAGAAGCAGAGTCTTGAGCCGTAAATCCGTATTCCGTGATAGACTATGAGTTAGGGATGTTAGGGTTTTTAAAGTGGGCCTATGATGTAATATTCTTTATATACTTATGATATATACGATTTAGTGTACACAATTTAGTATATATACTTATTATTCTTATATATAAAGAGTTATAATTTATTAATAATGTTAATGATCGAGTAATGGTGCGGGTACCCGCACCATTAGTGAACGGGGCGGTTTCGGGGCAGATAACGGGGCGAGTTAGTATAGAACCATAACCGCACCATTATCCATTTAAAAAAATCGGGTATTCCCCGCCCCGTACCCGTTCCCCAGTCAAACTGGTTTTCCCCATTTGACCAAACCGATTCGGTGCGGGTATCCAACGGGCCGGCCGGAATTGCCATCTGTATTTATAGCTAACAAAAAATGCTACCATTCTGAACTTTCCTCAAACCGCGACCCGTCCCAACTCGACCTGACTGGACTTCGTTTTGTGATCCGGTCGGCACTTTGGGTGGGTAAGTGATTTGGTTTTGTCCTCCTCTTGTATAGTACTACCTCAGTGCCGCAAAGAAGTTATCACTTTACTTTTATGGATGTCCCAAAAAGAAAACCAAAAAGTCACAACTACCTTTACTTTTCTCCCATTTTTTGTTTGATTTGACGTAAAGTAAAAGTATAATTGGAAAGATCAAACTAGGAATTCTTTGGGGACCGAGGGAGTATAGACTATACGGACTATACTCCGTAATAATTATCACATCTCTATTCTTTTCTGTATGATCAATGCTTTGTAAGGACTAGGGATTAGCCATGGAACCGCCAAAGGCAAAAAAGAGGCAGCTTGACGTCGCGCACTTGCAGAGCACTCCTTACTTCAAGATGCGATCCATAGTCAAAGAACTTCGACCCCATATCATTCAGGTGGACCCATTTTCATAACAAGTTCTGAAACTGTTCACATTTTCAAATGAATTCTGGAGGATGCCTTCAATTGTTTTGGCCGATTTTTGGACTTGTTAGATTATGTTAATTGATTAATTTGTTGATAAACCGCTCACCCATAGAGTATCTAATAAGATTTGTTTTATTTTACTGACAAAAGAAAATAAATGAATGAGATGTAGTGCAGCAGGAAAATATCAATATTTGACATTTTCAGGAAATTCGGCAGATGATAAAACTCTTTCCTTTGGTCTAATTAGGCTTTGTTCGGATTCGAGATTTGGGGGGATGGAAGCGGCAGGGTGGGATGAAATTGGGTTTACTAATCCATCGTCTCCTAGTCTGATAGTTTCGTATCTCAAATTAGGTCTTTCCTTGGTTAAATAATGTATCTCACAATATAATTACTCGCCTCCACCCTCTTAAATTTACCAACCATACAAGGGTTGAAACATTATTCAAAATGGAATTTGCATATACATATATACTTGGGGTGATTAAGTTCCATCGCTGTAATTTTAGTTCTTTATTAGTGGATATCTTGAAAAAATGTTCTTTAAGCTTTCTGTATCTTAGTTAGGTTGATTATATTCCAGCTCAGGGCCACATGTTTATTTCAGCTCAACATTAGAATTCCCCTTTTCATCTAACTATTGCGCTAGAAATGTTTATTTAAATGTAATCCCTTAAAGGGTACTGATGAATTTCTTACTGTTTCGTTCTTACGTTGAAGGTTCTGCGCACACCCGACTTCCGAAATTGCAAGGCAGCTACTGAAATTCGTCAAGGTAAGATTGGAAGACATTGCTCTACTAGAACTCTTTTTTCACATCAGGGGTTGTTAATAAAGTTGTTCTTATTGGTGTACTTCCTAGGAGAGAGGATTTATATTTTTTATCACTACAAAATAACTACTCCTTACTTCTTAGGGGTCCATTAGAAACTTGAAAATGCTAAGGAAAGATAACATGTAGGAAGTATATGAGTACAGAAAATGTGAGAGAAAATAATGCACTTTTCTGAGCTCAATTTATTTAATTTGATATTATTTCTAACTCGTTGTTTTTATTTCTCTTATTATTTAAAGATAAATAAATGTAAAAAATGTTTTGGAAACACATAAGTTGAATTTCTTTTTTCTTCTTATAATCTCTTTTGTTGTAACACTAAACATTGGAGAACAATTTTCGCAACGACTTTTATTCCATTAGCCAGCACTTTCCACAAACCAAACATGGCTGAATGTTTAGTTACAATATGTAGTCTGCATAAGTTTCTGTGAGATTCATATTTAAGATGTTTGTGTGATTTCATCTTTATGCTGTTTGAGAAAACAGATGTATTATATGTTTGTACTATAACGTGTCCTAGTTCATATTGCATTAAAAGAAATGCATCATTTGCAGTCACTAATTTCATTACACCTCTGTTTGGTAAAGTTTTGGTAAAGGTAGATTTTATCAGGTTTTTTATGAACACTTGGTAATAAGTAATGAGATACTTACAGACATGTATCAGTTTATTAAGTTTATGTTTGATATGAGGATTTGACATCAAGATGCAAGTTACTTTTGGCTTTATCTTTTTACCATAGTATCTATGACAAAAAATTGCATCTCTTTGAGATCTAATATTTTGACATTCAAGATTTGGTGTACTTATTATTTCAAAGAAAAAAAAGTTCTGCTAGAGGTACAAACTCTCTTACAAAAAATCTTACAAAAGAGGCATGTGACGACATCATATTGTTTAACACATCGCATCACTTTTGTATTAAAGGTGATTACAATAGGCACATAGGCACATCACCTGTTTGTAGTTTTTTTGGTAAGTTTGATAATACTTATAGCATTTTCCCAAAAAAATGGCTACGCCACACCCTAGTGGTTGGATCTTTCCACCACCCTTCTCTATGTGAGCACGCTTTGTATAGCGGGCTGCTATAATTAGTAGAGGAGAGAAAGTGATCCCTTCTAAGCTCCTCCTCCTAAAGTATGAGTCATACTTCATTCAGGAAATTGATAGTTTCCGGTTCGAAACAATAAGGGTCTCTTTGGAACCCGAGATGCTAGGGAGGAAAACTCGAATGAAGAAAAAACTCTGGAGAAATAAAAGATAAGATCAAATTCAATACATTTAATTTTAATGCTTGTTTAAGCTCTTCTTAGATATTTATTTCTAGTAGATAAAGACTAAGTCCGGAAACAGTCTCTTTGTACTTTAGTACAAGGGTAAAACTGCGTACGTCCGAGCCCCCTTACCCCCACCGTAGGTGAGAGAGCCTTTGCAGCACTGGGGTAATGATGACGAGATAAAGACTAAGAAGTCCAAATAAATGTAATAATATAAAAAAAAAGAATGTCCTCTTTTGTATTCCAAGATAAACAAACAAATTGGAACAACTTTCGTATTTATCCCATATTCCCTGCCATATTCTAATATCTACCACACATCATAAGATTTTACTTGTATTTTTCGCTGGTGTGCTCATGCACACCTGAGGAGTCGGGTTGGGGGAGGGTTTAGCGGGCTTCCTTATATTTTGAAGCCAATAAGATGCAAAACCATGCCCTAAGTGAGCTTGAAAGTTGAAATGAAGTTCTGAGAGTTTTAGTGCAGGCCCCTATCTTATGTGTGTTTAATAAAATGTTATGATGCACAGAGCTGAATGTTCTGATGGATCTGTGCAAAGAGATGGCAGCACAAACGGCAACAGCACCAACTCAATCGAAGAATGGAGTTCAGGGATTGAAGCCCAGTGGTGTTACAAACCAGAATATGAAATCAGCAGAGAAGCCTCCGGCTCCCTCAGAGAGATCCGCATCAGTAATAAAGCCTTGTGATGATAAGGGGGTGGCCTCCTCAGGAAGTCTATCCCTGAAACAACGCACTGTTGATGCCATTGCCAATGGGACATATATAGTTGGTGGGTCTGCATTTGGCTGGAATTTCATAGTCTATCCTGGAGATGCAATGGTGTACTATGGCAGAACAAAAGAGTCGTTCAGGTCTTCAAACCCAAAATCTCAATGAACGATTCTTTGTCATCACCATGAAGGATGATGTGAGGGATAAATTAGGTATTGTTAATAGACCTCTATTTTTTATACTGGTTACGACATATGTTTTCTTTATTGGTTTCTACGGTTTGATTTTGCACTGATCTACTTTTTGGAAGGATATAATGGAAACATCAAAAGTAAAGTCAAATTGAGAACTTGTTTGAGAACCCGAAGGTAGTAAAAGTTTTCTAACTTAACAAGGCCCTCAAAAACTACATTCTGCTTCGCTGTATTAAAAACAGTTAAAGGTAGTTGAAAGTATTCGAACTCACGGGTCAAGAACAGGTTACAAGTCTAGATTGATCTATATTTTAAAATAAGAGTAGTTATATGATTTTTTAGTGCATGCACATAAGTGATGAATTGGAAATAGCTGAAGGATATATTTGACTTTTAAACAAACTATGAACTATTAATTGAGCTGATGATTGACGATGTCCTGCAAGAGTTTTATTTGTTTTACTGAGATATTTGCCACCATGTTTCCCCTTCTGGTTGTGTATGCGAGGACTGGTTTTAGACCCTTGTTTTGAAGAAGAGCTGAACTTGACTAGATACAATAATCATTAATTATATCGTTTCAAATCAACCCTTTAATTTAATTTAAACTCGACTCAACTTCACAATATAAATTTAATTAATTTACAGCCGTTACAATGCTTATTTGTGATAGTATGATAGTTTTACATTTTCAGTAGTTATTTCAATTGTGTGATTAAACGAGTCAATTTCATTCAACTAGCTTTTGAGCTTTAGTAAATACTAGCCTTAAACAGAGGTCTATTAACAATACGTAATTGTTAGTTACAAGTTGGAAATATTTCAACTCAACTGTATAATAGGATGTTAATTACTAGCCTTGTGATTAAGGATGTTTCAACTCAACTGAGGTGTAACAACTCAATTGTGTGATTACAAGCTGGAAATAATTAGGATGTTTCAATTTCACCCTTAGAAATTGGAAACATTTTCCTTCTTTTACAATCATATTACTTAGCTACAAAATGATTATTTCTTGTTTAAGAATGCTATGCTGTACTTACAAAATGGAGTTACAGTTTTTTACCATTTTTTTAGTTTATTTATTACATTTGCTTTTAAAAGAACTTCTTTTACAGAAGAATGGTTGAGTTGTTACACAAAACTTACGCTTATAAAAAGTTTAATTTTGTATCATGTGGTATGCTATCGTGATCCTGAGTTAGGGATGGATTCGGGCCGGGTCGGGCCCGGTCGGGCCGCCGGTTCAAGAACAGTGGGCCCGGGACCGGCCCGAGGGTTGGACGGGTCCGGTTCGGGCCGGGCCACCCGCCCGGGTCACGGGTCGGGTCCGGTTCGGGTCGGGTCGGGTCCGGTTCGGGTCGGGTCGGTTAATTTTTTTTTTATAATTTATATTTTATAGTTTATAGTTTTTTATACGAGTATTAAAAACAAACTTCAATTGCATTTATTTGAAATGAAATAGGAACTACATTTGAAAATTAAAACAAACTTTAAGAGATAAACATTTTGAAAATTGTAATCAATCGGAACTTCCCGCACCTCCCGATCCTTTGGCTTTGTCACATGACTTCATATGCTTGATTGCCATCCCGAATCCGCCTGAAGCCCCCATAATACATTTTTTTTCGCACCATTTACAAATTGCGTACCACATCCCGATCTTCGGGTCCTTCTGCTTATCAAAATTATACCGTATAATGGCATTTTGATTTTCCATCTTAACTTCTTGGAGAAGAGAATTAGAGAGTAGATATATAATATATTGGAGAATAAGAGAATTAGAGAGTAGAGAGTTAAGAATAGGATTTAGGAAGAATTGGAGAAGAGATATGAAAAAATGTTTAAGATTAGGAGTATTTATAGGTTTTTTTACCCCCCACCCCCCCCCCCCCCACCACCACCCCCCACCACCCAACCCCCCCGGACCCCCCCTATAACGCACCCAACGGCTATATAGCCGTTTGGGTTGTCCCCAGCCCCACCCCCAACGGCTAGTAGGAGCCCAACCCAAAAAAAACTTTTTTTTAAAAAAAATTGATCGAACCGGACCCGGGCCCGACCCGGCCGGGCCGGGTCACAAAATTGCTGAACCGAGCCCGCCCCGCCCCTTCCCCCCAGTTCGGGCCCAGACCCGGTCCCGGACCGCCTGACCGGGCCGGTCCCAGGCCCGCACAGTACCGGGCTGGGCCGGGTCACGGGCCGGGTGGCCCGAACCGAATCCATCCCTATCCTGAGTAAAGGAGTGTTTTGCAAAAAATTAAACAAAAGACCTTCTCACCTTTTGGTTTCACAAAAACTGAAATTGGTGTTTTTAAGTGATGACTTCCGCTTAAATTAATCATTTAAAAGCTAAAAGCTGGAAATAGGTTGAGAGATGCTTTAAACAAATTTTCACTTTTTGTATTACACAAAAAAACACTTATTTTATAAACGCTGTCAACTTTTACTTTTTCATAATAACTTTTTTCTCAAACACTATCGACTTTACTATTAAACACTTTTCCCAAGATCACTTTACCAATTCGCCCAATTTGCAGCCCTAGATAGATGTCAAAAGGAGGAATTTTAGGACCCGTTTATAAAAATAGTCTGACCGCTCTAATTTGTTTATTTAATCGTGACGATTATTTGTTGGGTTAATTATCAAAAATAGGACTAAAAGTCATTCACTTTTCACAAATAGGACCTAAAAATAAAATATGTTTTCATAGTACTAATTATGTGTGTCTTAGACAAATATACCCTTATAGCTATTGAAATGTTTTAATTCATAATAAAATAATAAAAATAATAAAAATTCGTAGAAAATACTAAAAAATTAATAAAAATATTTCGATAATAATAATTTATTTATTTACTTATTTTCAAAAAATAAAAAAATAAAAAAAAAATCAAAAAAATAAAATAAAATTCAACGCCGCCTCTGCACCACCATCTCCAGTCACCAGGTGGGAAAATGCCAAGTTAATTACGAATGTCATATTTATGGCAGAAAACAATGAAAATGTTGGCATTCTCAAAGAGAAATATGCCATGTTTTTGGCATTTTCAGAAAAAATGACAGTTTTTAGGGAAAATGACATTTTTTTCACCTGCCAGAGATGGTGGTGCAGGGAGGTAGTACAGGCGGTGGGAAAGGCATCCATATTTTTTTTAATTTTTTAATGGAGTTTTACTATTTTTTATTAATTTAAAAAAAATAAAAAAATAAAAAAAATATTTTTAAATTTTTTATTTTATAAATATATTATAATTTTTTAATTATTTTTCTACGATTTTTTGATTTTTTTGAATTTATTATGAATTAAACATTTATTTAAATCATATTTAAAGGAAGGGTAAGAATGGAATGAAAAAATATGTATGTTTCTAATAGGATTAATATGGTCCTATTTTGAAAAGAAAAACATAATAAGTTTTATTTTGAGTTTTTGTTATAGTTTTAGTCCTAAAGTAATTTCTATTATTTGTTGCATCAATACAAAGTGGAAGAAGATTTTCGGACAAACATCTCTCCCTCCTTTGATATCTTGCATACAACAAACACTATTGGCCGGGATGACACCGAAGCTCCACTTTCGGTTATTAATGACCCACAAACTCTACAAAACCACTTGTCTGATTGCAAACACGAAGAATCCAAGATATCCTCTTGTATTTGTTTAGCAATATCCCAAAAAGTTGTTATCATTTCCTTTTATGAAAAGGTGCGTGGTTAACATTTATTTAATTTTTTGTTACTCATGTCACAATCCATGTTTTCATTTTATTTCCACTTTGTTAATGAGAGAGTGTTATGCTTGGAATTGTTTTGATTAATTCATTAATTCGATGTGATTAATTACGCTTGTCAATTGTGATTACTTTTTGCAGCAAATGATGCTTTTTCATATTATTACCTAAGAATATTGTGAAAGATGAAGAAGTAGAAGGGATACCAATTTTCACTTTTGTTGACTTTCTTTGAATCTGCAAATTTCAACGACAATGACCTAAAGAGCTTTTGAGTAATAAAAATTATAAAAGAAAGATTTATAATAAAATGGGGGGTGAGAGTATTTGCAGACAACCTTATTATTTATATTGAAACAAAAATTGCGGAAACTTTGACTTCATTTGTGAAGTCAAACTTTGACTTTATATTTGCAGACTTTATTATTTATATTATGCTGTGATTGAAGATTTCATTTGTTAGATGGAACACAAACACAATTAGGCGGATCCCGTCGCCTCCATTTGAGGTGCATCTGGGTGAAATATTTTGATGAGATTTTCTGAGCATGTGTGTTATGACATTTATATTATATTCATAATATTTCATCTTAAAACTCGATCGGAAAGTCTGTTAAACAAATTATTGAATCAACTTTCCAATTGAACTTGAAGCTGCAATGTTGTGGACATAGTGTACACTTCATTAAGAACATGCGTATAAAATTTCACTCATAAGAACATCAAATAGAGATAGGGATGGACTCGGGCCGGGTCAACCGGCCCGTAACCGGTTGGGCCCGGTACTGTTTCAGCCCGGCCCGGCCCGGTACCCGGGTCTGTGCCCGATTCAGGCCACCCGGACCGGTACTGTTTCAGGCCGGGCTCCGGGTCTCAAAAACATGAATCGGCCCAGCCGGGCCGGGCCCGGTTCGGGTTTTTTTTTCAAAATTTGAAAAAGGTAAATGGGCTGGGCTGGGTGTTTTGGACGGGTTTGGGGTGTGGGGTGGGGTGGGGGGTAGGAAGTATTAGAAAATAAAAAAAAAGGAAACTGGCCCGACCCGGACCCGGTATCTACTCGGGCCGGTTCCGGGCCTCAAGATTCCCAAAAAAAGCCCGATCAGGCCCGGCCCGAGGCCTGGCCCGGCCCGAACCGAGTCCATGCCTAAATGGAGATGACAGCACAACGGTTTAGGTCATATCAGCCTTCTTGACCGGAACATTACTCCCCATACGGAATAATTTACTCTATTTGCGTTCGTCCTCTCGATTTTTCTTTTATCTACATCCTACTAATTTTTGGTTTCGATTTAAAAAAGTAGATATCTTAAAAACAAGAGAAAAGGGTCAGATAGGGGCTCGAACTTACAAAAAAATGTCAAATAAGGTCTTATGTAGAACATTCTGTCCAGCCGACGCCATTTGGGGCGGTTCCCGGTAAAATATTTCGATGAAATTTTGTGAGAATGTTATT